TCCATACACAAGCATATTTCCGATTCTTACTGTCAAAAGATGTGTCGTGGTCTGTGTATCCTATAGAAATGGCTGAGAGCTCCCCCAGAGAGAACCAAGTTCTAGAGAAGCAAGGACATACTAGCTAACACCACTGAAAACTCTTGGGGCAAGGAGTGAGTCACTGGAGGAGCTAAGGGGAAACCTATCTGCCCATCCCAGAGGAAGGTGAGTCTGAGCAGAGGCTGGAAAAGTTATATATAAAGCCATGCCAGAATCTTGAACTCGGGGGATTCCCTTCAAGACTTTCACACATTGAGCCTCTGCAAGGAATGCACCACCCACCAGGCCTACTGTGCAACCTCAGAGGACTGTCTTCCAATAAAATACCCCAGTGCACTGGGAACAGAGAGCTGCTGAGGAAGAGGTAAGGATAGGCTGATGCTTCTGTTTCTTCCCCAGGAGTGCTGACACACAGCTTCAGACAGTCATTGAAAAGTAGCCAGTTGCCATTTTCATGAGAAGTATAGAAACTCTGGAGTGTGTTCTCTTTCCCTTCAATTGCTGTACCTCAGTATCCTTGATTAAAAACTGCAGAATATGAACACCAACCCTTACTGGGTACTTTAGTGTTTACCAGGCACATTGATTATGAACCCATTTAATTCCAAGGGAAGCATGAGGCAGGGTGGGAAGTAGAAATGGAGGATGATTCCTCCACAACCATGCACATGCAATGCATGCACACCCCTCTACACACATGTTCATGCATGTGGAATACACACACACACACACACACACACACACACACACACACGAAAACAGAAAAGGAACAGGAGTGTGGCTCCTCGACCTGAATACCTGTGCCCACATTCCCAGCACTCCAGCAGAAAGAACCAGACCCTGAATGAGACAGAAGGACACAGATCAAAAACTTCCACCCCAAGCCTTCCAAAGATGCTCAGAGTGGGAGCCATCAGACAACCACCGGCATCTCATCTCTGCATTGTAGCTGACTGAGCGCACAGGGCCATGTGAATCTGTAGGAGTCAGTCGAAAGTTCTTGCCCTCTGTGAGACCCTAAGATTATACCACATTCTTTGGGTAGAGGAAGTAAAGTCTGTGAAGGAATACCAGGATCAAGTTTCCCAGCAGTCTGGCAGAATGTGGGCTGTGAATCAGATGTTTAATTACATTAGAAAAACTAAGTTCTCTTTCTTTTACAACTGAGTTTTGGGGAAAAAACTATTTGGGGAAAAAACTTAGTAGTAGTTTTCCTTTTTTAAACATAATTATTATTGAATATTTGTACCCCAGCCCCACTCATTTCCCAGCCCTTCCATATCTGCCCTCCACCATTGTAACCCCCCCAAAAAAAAGAAAATAAAACATAAAAAATTTTAAAACAACAAAACTCTTGCTGACTCCTCTGGGCACCGACCTCTGTCAACTGCAGCCTCCTGTGTCGCTCCTCCATCTTACCTGCCTCCCCAACACATATTCATTCATCGCAGTGGCACTGGCTTTGGAAGTCTTTATTTGCAAATGTTCATTACAATGAGTCATTAGCCTAGTTAAAGGCTTCTGGCTTCTGCTATACCATCAATACTGGACCTTCATCGAGACTCTCAAATATCCTGCTGATGCCCTGAGTCATGGAGATCCTGTGTCTATGGATCCCCAGGACCAGCCCCTTTGTGGGCTCCAGCACTCGTAGATGGGTAGATGTTGGGGTGGACCAACTCAAAGCCCTGGGTCTGGACCTGGATGGTAGCTGAGTTGGTCAGCCCGCCAGCTTTCCCATGCCACTGGGTCCAGCTCTCATGAGTGCGGTAGCTGAGGCCATCTGGGGCCAGCTCTTCTGAGCCCTTGCCACTAGGGCCAGTTTACCGGTACAGCCCGAGCAAGGGGTGTGACCAGCTCTCCTGTGTAGTAGTAGTAATAGTAGTAGTTGTTGTAGTTGTAGTAATAGTTGTAGTAGTAGTAGTTGTTGTTGTTGTAATAGTAGTTTTCTAATGAATATTTATTGAATGGTAGTCTGATCCAGAGTGAAAAAGGTTGTCGTTGGGACATGTACAGATGTTGAAGGAGTGTGCAGAGAACCCAGAGATATACAGATCTGTTTATAATAATACTATAATGTTTAGATACATTTTTTCTCTCATCGTCTCATAGTGGCATTTCCAGCAACTATGTGACATGAGATTTTATAACTGATTGAGAAAGGAGATATGAAACCCCTGCTGTCTTCCATTAACCCAGATTTAAAAAAAAAAAAGATTTGCAAAATATAAAATAATTCTACTCTTTTTTAAAGATTTATTTATTTAATATGTATACAGAGTTATACCTACATGTATGCCTGCAGGCCAGAAGGAGGCATCCGATCTCCTTACAGATGGTTGTGCGCCACCATGTGCTTGCTGGGAATTGATCTCAGGACCTTGGGAAGAACACCCAGTGCTTTTAACCTTTGAGCCAACTCTCAAGCCCCATAATTCCACTCTTTCCATGGATAATGTTTATGGTACAGAAAGGAACTCTTCACACTACTAGAAGACAAACATAATCACTAACCCAACCACAAATCCTGCAATCTACAATAGTGACTTGCCTGCATGATTCGCTGGTGTGATAGTGGCATTGTGGTAATAACAAACCACTATCTGATGGATTTAAGGTCCACTCCATGAGATGGAACCCATGCCTGACACTGCTTAGGTGGCCAAGAACCTGAGCCTAGATAGGCTGTGTACCAAATACTACTATTCTGCTAAAGCAGTGGTTCTCAACCTTTGGGCCACGACCCCTTTAGAGGGTCACATATCAGGTATCCTGCATATGAGATTATCTACATTACAATTCATAGAAGTAGCAAAATCACAGTTACAAAATAGCAATGAAATATTTAATGGTTGAGAGTCACCACAACATGAGGAATTATATTAAAAGGTTACAGCATTAGGAAGGTTGAGAACCACAACCTTTTATGGCTAAAGGAACACAGCCATAAAAATGACTCCTAACAACATTCTGCTGTACCCATAGACCAGTGCCTCACTCAACCGTCATTGGGGAAGTTATGTCATACAGTAGATGGGAACAAATAGAGACACACAGCTGAACAATGTGTAGATAGTGAGAGACCTTGGAACACTCAGTCCTAAATGTGACCCTCATCAAATCCAGCCCTCAGGGTTTAGGGAGCTATGCAGAATAGGAAGAGGAAAGACTATAAGAGCCAGAGGGGATGGATGACAACAAGTAAACAGTGTCTTCAGACACAATGGAGCTGAAGCACATAGGAACTCACAGAGACTGAGACAGCATGCATAGGGTCTGTGCTGGGCCAAGGCAAATGAGGTCATATCACCGAGAGGGGGTAGGTAAGTGGACATGAGCTCCCACACCTCACTAAGCTATCTCCAATTAACAATTTCTTACAAAGGAAAAATTAGTTTTCTCCAATGGAGTATCACTGGATATGCAAACCACACTTAAGGACAGGTCTCATGCCCAGCTGTAGATGACCAATGCAAGACAAACTCAATAGTACTTTGGAGATTTTATGTATCATACTGCTTTGTTTTGGCATTTTTTAACCTTATTGGTCTTTTGCTTGTATATTATGGTTTCCAATTTTGTGTTTTTATGGGTTTTGTGTGTGTGTGTGTGTGTGTTAATATATGTCTATCATGCCTTTTCTTTCTTTTTTTTTTTTAATCTTTACGTTCCTTTATTGGAGCAAGATTCCTGACATATACAGTGATGTATTTACTAAACAGAGTCCTGTGCAGAAATTATACACTATCCATCTAGACAGATTTCAGTTACATTTTGCCTATTGATGGAGTAGTTCCATTTATAAAGTTTTATACATCAAAAAACTTTGAATTTGACCAGGCTGTCCATTAATCTCTGAAAAAATTTACATTTAATTTTAGCTCTATTTTACATTAACAAGCTTATGTATCAAGTAGCTTCCCAAAACATTATTCTCTGCACAATGGCATTGAGCAGACAAGAGCACTTTACCCACCCAGATTCCAAGTCAAATCTGAGAGCTCCTGCTACATACCTAGGACACTGCACTCCTGACCACCCCATGGACTGCATACTTGACAGCCTACTTTTTTGGCCAGTTCACTGCCAATGTAGACATGCCTGTAGCTGTCTTTCGTACAGATGGCATTAGAGTAACAGCTCTGTGACATGGTAGGAGCAGGTACTGTCATAATATCCAGGCAACAAAAGGCCCATTTTAAAAAATGCCAAATTGAGATAAAAAATAAAGGGTCCAAGTCCATGGCAGCAAACTATACCCAATCACTCAATTACGGACATTAAGACATGGTTCAAATCCCTTTAACTCAGTCTGCATAGACCTGAGGTCATCCTGCAAAGTGCGTATCAAAAAATACCAAGTTAGGGAGACAGAGTTTGACATGATGTCATTATGCAGGTCAAACTTGGAAGGTCATACTGAGCATCTGCCCTGACAGAAAAGCATCCGGTCCTTTGTGTACACATTGGTTTTATTGTAACAAAGCAACTTGTACACTTTAACATTTAAAAATGAGCATCTTTTTCCTTCCAGTGAAAACCAAAAAAATAAAAAATTTAAAAAATTAAAAATAAAGTTACAACAGAGAATGTCATTTCCAAATAAAACCCTACAGGTTCTGTTGATTCTCCCATTGAGTGGCAGGGCTCAAGTCATCTTTAGGAGAGAATTTTATTTTAAAAGTGTCACCTTAAACTGCAAGGATGTCTGTTAAACATCACAATTAAACATGCCAAAGGAGAAGCCATGTTGTCACAATGCCCACTAACCCCCCCCCACCACA